CCTTGGCAGTCTCAGGGGTGTGCTGCGTTGGGGCAGGGGACTTCCCCCACTCTGCGTGTCTCTTCCTTCCCGGGCCGGCCGATATGAAGCGTGACCAAGACGCACCGTCTGACTCAGGGGTCCCACTACGGGTCCCGCAGTGGAGTGGAGGTTCCCGGCTGGAACCTCCCCACCTCCACCGCGGTGCACCCGGCAAACAAGGTTGTTTCTCGAGCCCTCACTGTTAATTAAGTAATGTTATTGAAGAACTGAAATGCATAAAATTGAAAGTTAATATGTATCATATCCCTCGGCTAGCTGCTAACGGCTATCAATCCTTTTGGAGCTTTTTCTGGTGCCTGAGAGGAGGTTCAACCATGTCCGTTCGGCCTCGTGTGGACCCTCTCGCCTTTTCACCACCTGGACGGCGGCTTTGGACGTCACCCGCGCTTTCATCGCCGCCTGGGTGTCGCGCTTCTGGACCCCGTCTCGCCTCGACAGTTTCGGACGTCGCCCATGCCTTTGTCGGGCCGTGGGTGGCGTGCTTCGGGAACCTGTCTGGCCTCTCCCTTCGCCTCGGCGGTTTCGGACATCGCCCATGCCTTCATCGGCCTGTGGGTGGCGCGCTTCGGGACCCTGCCTGGCCTCTCCTCTTACCGCGGCTCACGGTTCGCCTCGACGGCGGCTTCGGACGGCGCCCCGTCTGACCCCGTCTGACCCTGTCTGGCCTCTTCCCTGTCCACGGCTCCTTCCTCCCGGGGATACTGCTCCTGCCCCCCGGGACCCGGCTCCTTCCTCCCGAGGACTTCGTGCCCGTCGCCGCTGTGCCCTCGCCTGCGGCCGGGCAGCGCTCCTTCCTGCTGGGGACCACCGGGTTATTCACAACCGTCGCGGCTCAGCGACCCGGCTTTCACCGACTGGCGGGTGATGGCTTCATTCGCCACGACGCCTACTGCGGCCCCCTTACGACGGCCCGTTCCGGCCCGCCCCCCACCCCCGGTGGGGATGCCCTCGCCCTCGTTAGGGCCCCTACCCTCTCCTGCGGCCCCCTTACGACGGCCCGTTCCATGGCCCGGCCCTCACCTGCAACCCCTTCTCTTCGGCCCCTGTGGTGCTTCCTCCCGGACGCGAGGATTATGCCATGTTTGAATTCTGGGGGGGCTTGTGTGGTGACCACTGTATAACATGTCATAATTCACTCATGGAACTACAGTTAAGGGTGTTGTTTCCACACGGGCATATGTGTTGCCCTTTCTCTCTCTCTTGTCGTCCCGGGCTGCGACCCAACAACATCTCTATTTCTGCTGCTCATTAAAGCAATTTTGTACCTCCATTGCACCGCCTCCGACTCCCTATCTCTCGGCACTACAATAATTAATTTGCACAGTGCCTGTAAACCGGAGGAGAACGCTGGCATTTCTCCTCCTACTTGAAAGACTACGGAGGGATAGGGTCTGCAAAATTCGTTTATTTTGGGGATGGGCCGGATGCTCTGACCGGTCCACTTCCTGCCCGGCGCCTCTGCAACGCCAGTTGCAATGAATGGAAAAACCTGTGTTTTCTCCGCATCGTCGGATTTAGTGTGATCAGACATTAGTTTTATTTATGCTATTATACATAGGCCTATGCCATTTCGATTTGCAGGCAACCTCTTGTGGGCCAGAAAAATGCCGGATTCGGCCCGTGGGCCACTAGTTGAATAGGCCTGCTTTAAGACTTTATAAAGAGTTGTTCGCTTATATAAGTTGCATGTTTTTCCCTAGTTGCGGACATCTAGCCTACTGACTGTGTTCCCAAGAACACAATTATATTCACAATTGTTTTCTAAGTTGCATCTCCCCCATCAATGTAAAATGTGTAATAATAACTGCCTCGTTGAGTGTGAAACTCGGGAGAAAATACTAAATCAGTTCCATTTCTTAAGATCTGTGTTAAAAGAAAAACACCATTTGTATTCAATTGTCAACATATCAGCTGACTTGAATGCTGAGTTTAAGAGTCACTTAAAAGGGTAGAACCATTCATTTTTTCAGTTAAACATTTTTTATTTCATGGAAATACAACATAACTTAAATCCGTCGCAGGAACCTTGTTGTACATTTTATTATTCTTTTCTCCACTTTTTGTACTTCAAAACATGGTCACTTGTACAACAATATCATAAACAAAGCCTCATGTCACAAATGAAGCCATTGATGACAATAAATTACACTTGCCATGCTAAGGTTTTGAGATGATACATTGGTACCTTCATTTTTACTAGATTAACCTTTAAATGAACAATACGTCGAGTTGAATAAATATGATAAAAAGACACCGGAGTTACAAAAGAAAGTTTGTTCATTCAAAACGGAGCAGAAAAAGATCAAAGGGCAGCTTAGGGATAGTTTCTTCTTAATAATTCATTTGTTTTCCTTCATATGAAAAAAAAATAAGGACACATTTTGCATATTCTGATAACACTGCTAAATCTAAAGCCAACAATAGTAAATACTGACTATATTAGGAAACTGCCCTTTAATGATAGCTGACATTTTTGTTAAGATGTTTCCTTTATGTGCAGAATATGTCATAGGTCTGCTAGATAAACATCATCCATTCACACTCAGAACAGGTTAATCTAGCACTGTCTTTATACAACCTGGAGGTATTTTCTAATCTTCTTCCTTGAATGTTTTTTTTTTACTCTTGAAAAAACAAACACATTTGCCCAGATGAAGATGTGTCTTTTCAAAAATTGTAAATAATATCACTGTATTGATGTACAGAATATAAAAAATCTTTTCAACAGACAAAAAATAAAGTCAATGAGATTTTCTTGCAGAGAGGCAAGTATACCGAGGATGAGTACATTAAAAAATATTAATAATTAAAAACAAGAACAATTACAACACTCAACACTTCACTTAGTTCAACAGTGAAATTTACAGTGGAATTGGTACCCAATAAAAATGTGTTGGGAGGAAGCGAGAAAAAACAGATGGTGGGAAGGCGGGAGTGATAAATAAAAGCAAATCAAGAATGCGATGTACCTTTGAAAGCAAGCAGGTGAGGTAAATGCATCATGATAGACACTGTGCACCATGAAACAGGGTAGATCAGATTATTATACAAATGAGTTTGATCACAATAAACAAGTTTGGGCCATAATAGAGGAGACACTATGGTTATTAAGTGGTGCTAGAACGGTTAGTAACTTTAGTAGCACTTAAGTGCACCATGTTAAAATATCTTTATATAACTTAGAAAAATTAGCTCTTCTGTTGCATTATTTTGTCTTTTTTTTCTTAAACCTTGTTCGATTTTATTTGCTCCTGATTGCCAATTCTGAAAGGCGTTTAGGAGTCCCAACAGCTCGGACTTCAAACAAGTGGCTTCCGATTTTAAGATAGAGATTCTCTTTTGGCATTTGTGTTCAATCCACATGTGTGCAGCGGAAGGAGTGAGACAAGGCATGCATGAGTCTGAGTGAGAGCCACACAGATAGTAAAATAAGAAAAAAGATAAAGGTGTGAGTATACACTTCTGCCTCTGGCCTGGTCCACTTCTGAGTGCTTCAAGGATTCATAGACAGCCACATTTTGGATAGAGGAACTGTTTGATTGTATTCTATACCCCTAGGAGATCAGGAGGAGGCAGAAATTAGTATCACAGCTATGTTTGTTTTAAGTATGTGTGTGTTCAATATGTGTGAAGGGTGTATTTCAACAGGTGGTAGCCAGGGATTGGTGTATAGGAGGCTGGAAACAGCGAACGTGCTCCACAGTGGAACTGTCCGTCTCCACCGCCTTCATGTACTTGTTGAGGATGGCGAAGATCTCATTGTTAAGGATCTGGTACTTCCTAATGCGGTCCGCCATCTTCTTCAGGGGCTGTGAAGAAAAATAAAAAGGAATAAATCCAACATATCAAGAGATGTGTTTATGAAACGCTAAGGGAGAAAATGAAGGAAAGGTTGGAAAGCAAGAGGTGTTACATCAATTAAATGATATGTGTTTAGCTATAGAGAGAGGGGGCAGAGGGTGATGAGTAATACAAAGAGAGAAACATGGCTTAGAAAAATATCGGTTTTTATCGTTTGTTATTGATTTCTAAAAAGGTGAAATTTTCCCAAAAAAACTGCTGTGTCGCTCTAACAACTCTCTTTTTCTCTGTTTTCTCCAAACAAATGAAGAACATAAAAATCCATCATGTCCTGTGTACATTTTATTTTCCTGATGCTCAAAGTGAACATCAGAAGGAACGTTGAGGTATACCCACCACATTTTTGATGATCTCATCCTTGCCGTCCTGTCTTTGGACTTTGAGCAGGTGGTAGCAGAAGTCGAAGAGGTCAAAGCGACGCTGCTGTCCCAACAGCACGATGATGGCACAGCCGGCCCAGTTCAGCCCGTCCCCGAAGCACTGCCTGAAAGCCAAGGAAAATATAACTCATTAATGACGTCTGCATTAAAGTGAGGAACTCGTTTTGGACAAGCTGAAGAAGTATTAGCAACACGAATTGCAGTTTAGTACAGTTTTTGTGTCAAAAAATTGCAGAAGATGTATCAGCTCTGCTAAACTGTGTGTCATTATCTCCCCTCTTCTGATTCAAGAGTAGGCTATAGTGTTTCTATCAGCTGCTGATGGTGAACGAAGAGTCTGCAAGAAGCAAAGATGGCCTATTTCTTTGTATTATAATCTTTTTCATGAGTATGAGCAGGAAGAGCGTTACATTAGCCCCGAAAAAATCACTTTACCTTTAATACATTTGTCTTTGTCTAAAAATGCCAACTCTTTTCTAAGCTTTAAGTAAAGAATTCTGCAATAATTTGTTTATATCTTTTAACTCAGTAAACTAATTCCGCATTAAATCAAAATAAAAAAAGACAAAGGAATGAAGTCAAAGTAAAATATAACCCATTTGTATACAGTATCGACAAACCAAAACAGAGTTTTAAGTAACACCTTTGAGAGGCACTGCTACACTGAACACTGATCAGGGGCCACTTACTCTGCGGTGAACTCGTGTGTGCCAACTGGGATGCAGTAGACGAACTGCATGGCGCTCCACAGGCGGTGGAACTCCATACACTCGTCGACATGCATCACACCGTTGGTGGGGGGGGGCCCGCGCCACACCCCGTCCTGCAGGAAGCTGCGGATGCGCGTCAGGATGACCTCGAACATGGAGAGGCCGCAGCACAGACGCTCTTTGGTGAGCAGGTCCCCCTCACGGGCAATGGCAATTTGCTGGTAACAAGAACAACCATGATACTTTCTTAATAAAAAATGTCAAAGGAAAGTTGTATCATCAAGTGTTGGATATGAAAAGAAGGAGAAATATATACATCTTTAAGTTTGCTTATAAAAAATGACTCGATATTAACCTGTGGGGTTCCCAACCTCTCAATTAGAGGCACAAGGTGGAGAGGGGCGTACTTCGCTTCCAGCCTTTTCATCCTCACCTCCAGACGCTCTCCCTCTGTACAACACAGGAAAAAAAATGTATGAAGATATACATATTGTACAAAAAACCAAACAAATCAATGGGTTCGAACTGGACTTTTTTTCCACCATCTGCCTTGCATTTAAACCTTTAGTATACCTTTGATGTAGACTCTGGGCAGAATGTTCTGGAAGGGGGCGGCATGGAGCAGGTCACACACTTCTTCCTGGGACTAAGGTTTAAGAAAAACACACCAAAAAGGGTCATTTCAAATCAAAGAACATCACCCACTTTGCTTTACCATGCAGGTAGCCACAAGGATGAAATAGATTTTTAAAGAACCCATCCCCCAACACTCCTAGCTTAATGCATTAATTTAGACCTAAAATGTTAGCAGGATAGCTTATAAAGCATATTGTAGATGCGTAAAGAAATCTGCCATGAGCTCCATGCTGGAGGAGAATTCTGATGATTGACACTATTTTTAGCTTATGCAGAGAAGAAGATAAAATGGCTGAATGAATGGGTGTTTATCATGAAGCTATAATGACAGGCAAATTACTGACAGAATTATAAATGTGTCACACAAAATCTAATCTGGTTAAGCAGCATAACGTCAATTTACCATACATCTTAAAGTTGAGGTTGGCAGTTTATGTTTGGAGACATTGGGCAATATTCTATCATTTCTTTGCAAATTTGAAGTACTGTAAAACCCTTTTAGATAGCATACTTTGATTTAAGGCGTCGCTAGCTACACATTCGGCAAAGCGTTTCAGAGATGTTTAGAAAATGTTGCTATTTTTCAAACTTTTGTCAAGATACCTTTAGTAACGTACCTTTGTTAAGATACCTTTGGTAAGATACTTTTGGTAAGATACCTTCTTATCTTACCATTGCAGACTGGAGCCTTGGGCCTTTTGCTTCGGATAGCAGGAGAATTTACTATAAACCTTTTTCTCTGAAACGCTTTGCCTATATTGTCTATATGTTTCTGATCTGAAGTCTGGTTGCTTTCCAGTGTAAGAAGATGTTGCCAATGCAGGAAGCAATATTTTCCTGCAGGATATTCTGTCTTGAATGAGGTTTTCAACATCTAGGACATGCATGTCTAGTTATCTCTAAAATGATCTGTCAGTCTCCTGGCACAGGCTAGATTGTTTAAAGCCTGAAAACAGAACCAGGAAGAGGTGCAGACGTTTAGTTTTCCCTTAGGCCACTTGATTATTTATACTATAAAAAAGATACAAAATGCTAAATTATTGCCCATTGACTTGTGAAAATGAACTGCCTACCCCAGCTTTAATAAACACTAACCCTTCTGGGTAAAATGTCACTGTGTTAGTAACATTCAAGCTATTTGTGCTATGTTAGGTCATTCTTAATCATCTAGGTGTTTTTCGTGGTGATTGTTAGTCAAGACAACATGCTGTGAGTCAAACTATATGCAGACAGGTAGCCTAGATGGCGCTGAATGAGAAAAGAGCCATGCAAATGGTAGAAAAAGCAACACACACACACACACACACACACACACACTTACAAGTAGTCCAAACTAACATACAGACAAACACTGTACACACAATGATCAGTGCTGCCTGACAGAAATGGTTGGTAGAGTGACAGTTGCGTAGATGTATGTAGACATGCACCAGCAAGAGAGCCAATAGAGTGTAAAAGAAGAAGAGTTAAGCACAAATCTGTACCAACAACCAACCAGAAATATACCAGCACCTCATCCATGGAAGAAAAGGACATTAGAATTATATTATATAGCAGCCAAAAATGTTTTTTTATATATATTTATGACTCTTTTGAGCAAATTTCGTGCTTCAAATTCAGATACCTTTTTCAGGTTTTTGTGTGAAAAGGGACATTTCACTTAATTTCTAATAAAATCAAAGAGTAAAACTGTCTTAGTCCCTTTGCTTCCATGGCTGACTGGGGGTGAAACCATGTGTGCAAAACTAACATAGTGGGAAAAAAAGAATATATAGAAACACAGCAGCCAACACCAACAGGAGATAAAAAGAGGGAGAAAGTCATTCAGTGTCTGGGTTATTTTGGAACCAAAGAGAAAGCCTAAATCCTTACCACCTGAGGGAGTAGCCAGCGTGTAATGAAAAATAAAGTTGCAATTCAGAGATTAAAAAACACATCAAAGATCAAACAAACTTTGGGGGCACCTGGACTGGGCGACTGACAGTTTTAGGCACCCAGGTTATTCGCCCACACAAAAACATGGCAGTGCAGAAAGCTACACTAAGGGATTTGAACAGTGTAGAGATTAGGAAAGCAGTGGAATAAGCAGACAACAAAGACTGCAACGCAAGTTATAATCATCATTTCAAAACAACAAAGAAAAAAGAGGAAGCTAGAGTCAATAGCGTCATACAGTAATGTAATAGTTTAAAGGGAAAAACAAAAGGAAATGTCGTACCAGAGCTTGCTCGATGAGAAGGCAGAAGAGGATGGCGTTTCCCACCTCCCTTAGGCTCTGGAAGACATCTGTCTTCAGCTCAGCATACTCAATGATATCCTTGAGCTGATGGTGGAAGAACTCCAAGATACCTGAAATGGCAGAAATGAAATTAAAACCATGATATCACACAAAAAAACCCACATTTTTGCTAAAGCTAAATCTGCCGAAGTGCCCTTCAGCAAGGCACCTAACCCCCAACTGCTCACTGGCGCCGGCTAGACTGGCTGCCTCCGCTCTGACCTCTCAACTGCATGTGCATGTGTGCATATAACTGTGTGTGTATTTGTATATGTATGTGCATTTTCTAAAAAGTGTGTACTGTGTGTACTGTATGACCTGTATAGAAAACGCATGTGTGTGAAACTGAATTTCCCCCTCGGGGGATTAATAAAGGTCCATCTTCTCTTCTCTTCTATCACCCTTTTATTTCTTGCAGTCAAGCAGTAGGCAGCTGCTAATACCTCATTGGTCATTGACCCACATTTTAAGCATCACAGCAGATGGAGGATCATTAACTGCTGACATAGATGACACGCAGTAATCCAGGTACAGTACATCAGTAATCTGGAGATTACTATGCCCTCCTCATAATAGGTATATGCCATCTGAGTGGCCTCTAATCTGTACACACAGCAACAGGTAAGTAGTTCAAAACACATTTTATTTTATCGGATGTTCATCCTGAGCTCCGATAATGGTATACAGTGAACTGTGTAGGCAAATCCCAACACTCAGACCTATGAATAAGAAAGCATGTCCTTTGAAACACATTAAAAACAAATGTTTGATTAATTGCCATTACAGCATAAAATCATGCATTATATTATATCACACTTTCAATCTAGGCTTCAAATAAATCCCCATTTCATTTAACATACAGAATTTTTAGTCCGTTTCTTTTCAACTCCCAAAATGATAAGCTCCTGTCTCCATTTTTTCTCTTGAGATGTCCAGAAATTAATAATGAATATTGAGAAGTTTCAGGTTTGAATTGGTTATAAGTTTCAACATATATTGTTAAATATATTTTTTAAACAAACATTTCTGACCTCTAAGGACAACAGACTGTTTTGAAGGGAAGCACGATGGCTAAATAGGACACTATTTACTACATTTGAAAGCATTTCTGGCCTTTATTGTGGTTCTGTATTGCACTTTGACAAACAAATCACTTGCAACTCTTTTATGTGTTTGTTTTTTTCCTAATATATGACACCACCTATCCCAAACTTGATTACATTGCAGCAGAATTGCTATTTTCCCACATTGGCTTGTTAACACCACTCCTAACTGCTGGCTGTTAGATTATTGTTGATGCAGCGGTTCACATGTCGTCAGCATTTTTCTTCTGCTGGCTGTGAGCTGTAAACACCTAACTGCTGCTTCAAGTGATAGCTTTTTCCAGTAATGTTTCCAAGCCCTGACTGCTCTCAAAGAAGTAGCACTAAACACTAGAGTGCTTAGCAAGGAGGAGGAAAGAGCTATTGTTAAATTGGGAATGGGATAGCGTTGAAGTGTACGGAACGTTGCCACAAATTAAATTAACTGAACCCAATAGCACATTAATATAAATCTGATTTGAGTCTCATTGAGCGTGCGTCTTTTTGATATGTCCACCAAATACATGGGAGTTGATGTTGCAAATACTACATATATGTCCCTACATATATGTATTTGCCTGAACAGTAGGGCCTATGGACTCACCTGGGGAGCCGTACTCATGGCGCGGCAGGCGGCAGATCTTGGGCATGACTTCGATCAGTGTTTTTACGTACTGCAGGATGGTGCCCTGTAACTGCAAAGTGACATAACAATATAGATAGTTAAGGTACAGATAGGCTACAGGGAAGACAAAAACACAGCTAGAATCAAGCACACTGAGGAAGGAACCATATGCGGTGGAAAATGGAGATAAATACCAGGCTCTTGACAATCTTGAGCAGCTCCTCCATCACTACAGCGATGCCTTGGTAACCAAGGAGACGGCAGATGGTCTTGAAGTGGGGCGGGCCGACAAAGTTTCTGTAAGAGCTGTATATGTGGGAGTAGGCAATGTTCAGAGGCTGAGAAGAGAGGGAGAGACGAGAAGATGTGTTAGGAACAGAAGGAAGACGGGTCTTAAGGAAAGTCTGTCCAATTTCAAAACATCAGTGGCCCCATACCTTGGACCCATACAGGTAGTAAGGCTGCACGTTGGCTGGCTTGTCTCTTTGAGGCTCCTGGGTGAAGGGAATGGCTGTACGTACAAAGCTGATGAGAGGAAGCAACGTTAATAACCAAAAGATTGAACAAAATCTACCAAAGAAAAAAAAGGAGAAGAATCTCTGCAACTGAACTTACCGGTTTGTGGATCCGTTGTAGCAGTAGTTGGGGAGGAAGTCGAAGTTGAGCTCCCAGAAAACGTGGAGCGTGATTCGTCCGTAGGGGGCGGAGACGTTGTGGTTGGCCTCGCGGAACATGGCGTCGAAGCTGTCCAGAGTCAGGTGCTTGCAGAGGAGCCGGTGGGTTAGTCTGTTGATCTCCAGGAGCCACTCCAGCTCCTGGAGGGGAGAGATACGGGGAGTAAGAGAATGGAAAGTTGAGATGGGAGGGTATGTAAATTATAAATGTATAACCTGTTAACAATGTGGTCAGTAACCTAATCACAATATTAAAAGTAGAGTCCCTTTATTACTTTCCGATACTTTCAAATGACCTTAATAACAAATAAAGAAAAGACAAAAGATATATCAATAAGATAACTTATTTTAACTTTATACACACTTGTGTATTCTGTAACAAAACAATCTCTTTGTAGATGCAGACAATGCTTATATCCTGGTCAACAACTTTTTTTAGAATGCAGAGCTATTTAGAGAACTATTGATATTTGGGATTACACCGCACGGTATTCAACTCCAGGTAGGGCCTGTAAGTGAGTAGCATGCTAAAAAGCAGAAATTGGAGAAGAGGAACTATTCTTCCTCTATCCTTGTATTTACCTGTCATAGCAAAAAGAGCTGCATTCCAAACCACTTACTTTTAACGTTCAGTGTGTACTGCAGCTACCCTTACAAATGACGTACTGTTGCATTCATTATGCAAAAAGAAAATGTTTAACTAAAAAAAAAAAAAGATTATATGGATACAATAATAATAACAACAACAACAACAACAACAATAATAATAATAATAACTGTTATCATAATTATCTTAATTATCATAGTTTATATAAAAATAGGATGAGATATTAAACTGTCTTGTTATCTGAACATGGACATGGAGTTTGTTTTACTTTATTATTTTCTTTTCACCCCGGAAATGGGTGTATGTATACGTGTACATATGTATGTGTATGTATATATAGAATTTTGTTTAATTGTGCGCAAATTAAATGACTGATTTATATTCTTTCTTTATCCTGCAACTGGATAAAGTGGATACCGGGAGGGCTACCTCTGTATATGCTTTCTGCCCTCCAGCTTCTACTAATTTGGTTTGTTTGTCGGATATATAACGTGTTTAATATTGAAAAAGTTGGATAAAGAAAAATAAATAATAACATGCTTGGAATTTAGTTTGGTCAGAGTAGCCCAAAAACGGTGTGCTCATGTGCATGTCTTGTTTAAAATGCATTTCAACACTATAGTCCTGCTAATAATCCCCCCCAGTGATGTCCCTGTTGTGATCTTACCACGATGGAAGTGAGGTCCTCGCTCTCAAAGCGGCTGATGGCGTGGTCCAGGGACTTGTACATCGCTGCCGAGATCCTCTGGGTGATCAGACGGTTCAGGTCAATGGAGCGGCCTAACAGCTGCAAGACACAGGATGGATGGTTAAGAATAACAGTAAAACACACAACAAGAAGGTGCAGAGGACAGTTTTCATGTCTCCCATACCTGTACGTGTCTCTGTTTGAGCAGCGTCTCGTAGCGGTTTGAGGGAGGGTACGGGATGATCACGCCATAGTTTTTACACTCTGCTCTGAAGCGCTTATCTAAGAGGACGCTGTGGAAACAAACGTGATTTAGAAAATACAGAGTGAACAAAAAAAGAAGCATATACAGAGGAAGTCACTTCTCCTACCTTCCAGCCATTGCTTTGTAGTAGGCAAATATCTGATCAGCTAACTTGTAGACAAACTGGTCGAAGCAGAGGTTTACCTAAGAGCAAAGAAAACACTATGAGGTCACAGAGGAAAAGATCAATGCATTGTATTTGAAATGTATTCATCTTGCGGCTTACCTCAGCCTCGATTTCATCATAAAGGAACTGCTTCTTGAACTTAGTGAGAGCGTAGTAGCCGCTGTCGTTATACAAGTCTAGAGGATACAGCACATATCTGGAGGAGAAAGAAGGGTGGTTATAATAATGTCAATTTTCGTGAGTTAAAAACATAACGTGAGTTTTGGGCTGGAAGTGTTAGTCTTACTCCATCATGGAGGGCTCCTTGGTCTCCAGGATGTGGTCGGTGAGGATCCAGGGCATGGACATCTCAATGGGGAACTGGATCCTGCGACCCATGGTCAGCTCCAGGAAGAACTCTCTGAACCACAGCTGGGACAGGTCGCAGCACTGCTGCAGGGCCTCTGCACCAGCGAGAGACAATTATTAAGATCTAGAGGTATTACAGCTTGTCGAGAAAATACTGAATGTACTCTTTCAAGGACAGAGGTGCAAATGATGACAAAGGCCCAAGTGTAACAGTGTATGTGGCAGGATGTATGATTAACTAGAAGACCGATTCAGGACGCACGTTGTTTTAGGCATGATAGCTATGTGACAACGATAACATGATGGATAATATTGCGCCCATATGATCATTTCTTACTGGGCCTTAGCTAATCTGAACAAAACAATCGGTATCACTGCTTTGCAACCGCGTATTTCAATTTTGGTTTTACGTCTAACACCCTCTGCTTGTTATATAGGCATTGTGAAGCACACTGTTTCTGGGGAACTTAGCTTGTGCCCATTATGCTCTGTATGTTGATGCACTAACTTCCATTTCTTCGCCAGAGGCCATAATAAATACTTGCTTCATGAATTATTGAAACTCAAGGCCGGTGAACGAGTGCATGATTTTTTTTCAAACATAAAACTTATTTTAAACACACATGGAAATTGTGTTCTTGCTATATGTTTATACAAGAGTCCAGTGTTTCCCCTAGGATGGAGCGTCATAGCAGCGCGGGTTGCTAAGCGTCACGTGGCCCAGCATAATGTGAGCGCGGAGCGCGTGTTGTCTTGGAATTTCGGTGTGGTGTGCGTGTGCGCAACGTTGCGCGCCGCCAATTGTTTCTATGTGTCAGCCACAAGAAAGGGCTCTGGAGTCCTATAACCAGCGGACCGGTTCTAGAACAATTTTTGCTGCCCTAGGCTGCAGATTTTAGGCCGACATTTTATGTGCTAAAAAGAATAAATGGAAAAATCTCTTACAAAAGACAAATACACTTGCAAAAACAGAAACTTATTGAACATGGCGTAATAGACGTCAAAATGGCTTCAAATGTATTCAGTATTGGTATGAACATGTCTTGAAGATTGCCCCCGGCGGTGGAGCGTCACATCCTCTAGGTGGTCCGGGGGTATGCTCCCCCGGGAGATTTTTTTGAACATTTTTACAGTAAAATGCTTTCAATGTGGTGCCACTTTGAGCAAGCACAATTATAGAGAAACTGACTAGGGGGGGTTCCAACTCTGTGAGGA